GTAGACCCTGTTCCAGATGGTCAATCAGGCGATTTAGCAACACTCGTGCAAAGATCTTGCCTGCGACGGAGAGAAGTGATATTCCTCTATAATTATCGCAGACTTGTCGATTTCCTTTCCTCTTGTAGAGGTGCACGATGGACGCGTCTTTCAGTTCCTGAGGGATGGAACCTTGTTTCCAGAAAGACCGGAACAGCTGAGTGAGTTTTTCAACAAGCACAGCACCACCAGCCTGATAGACTTCCGCTGGGATTGTGTCAGATCCTGGCGCCTTACCACTGGAACACTGACTGATGGCCTGTGAGGTTTCAGCCTCTGATGGTGGGACATCCAGGCTATAGTTGATATCCACCTGGGGTATTCTGTCGATCGCCTCATTATTGATGGTGGATGGGCAATTCAGCACAAAGTGGAAATGCTCAGCCCAACGCTGTAAAATCAGAGTCCTCTCAGTGATGAGAGTTGCACCACTCAAATCCAGTAAAGGGGAGCTTCCTGAGGGCTGAGGTCCGTACAGGGATCTAAGGGCTTCATAGAAGCCCTTAAAAACTAATTATGCAGAAAATAACAGGAGAAGTGGAACAACTAAACACTAAGACAGAGGACTCAATTGACCAACAGATCCAACCAACGGAAAAATCAAAAAAGGGAGGAACAACATTGAAAATGGAAATGACTTTTTACAAAAATCAGAAGAAATTTGAGGAAAAAGAACAGATTGAATGGAAGGTAAACCTATAAGGACAATTGTGGGAAACTGGAATAATAGGAAGGCTATCTAATGAATACAAATGGGCTAGTTCTTCTAAAAAAACTGCAATCAAATGGTCTTTCTTATTCCAAATAATATATATAATAATAGAGGGAGAACTATTTGATGGTTCAAAAGCACTGACATAGAAGGTTAGTAGGCAAAGGAAGAAAGCCAGATTAAGGCTGAAGAAAATAAGGGTTTTGATTTATTAGAGAGGATTTCATATTACTAACTAGAGGGTTGAATATGATGGAAAATAGATAATTTTTAGAAAATAAAGTAACATTATAATTGAATAGGTAAGATGGGTAACAAGACTAATAGACTTTGGTATGAAAAGGGAAAAAGGGAGAAATTGAGATAAGGAAAATTTTGGTCACCTAATATAAAATATTTGGAAATCAGTTGAAAATAAGAATTCTGTTTGTCCAATATGAGCTAACAGATATTACCAGGAAAAGAGAGGGAGTATTTGAGCTTTTAAAAATTAGACCTAAACAAAAACATGGAAGGGATACCCGTTATCTGAAGCCACCTGGGTGAAATCCAGTGAAGTAAAGGCTAATAGATTGGTCAAAAGGTTTCATGTGAAATACCCCAACAAACCAAAAGATAACCCTTAACATATGCTTTGGTTTGCTTTACGGGATCTGTCCTTTTTGTAAGTGGGGCCGGATGTCAACGCTGCAAATACTGTATATTTTTGCTTTGACAATATGCAGAACTGTCTGGTATTTATATAGTTAAATCAGGCAACAGTGAAAGCCGGGAAAAAGAAACCGGAAGTAAATCATGTCGTCCAAGTTAATTGGAAGATGTGAACCATGACCCCAAAATAAGGGAGGGAAAAATGCTTAATATGTATTTGTAACGGAAAAGAATCAGATCTAAGCATTTTTCCACCATGCTGTACTGACGTCTCTGTAACCTAACCCTAACCCAGTGAGGCACCCGACGATAAATAAGTGGGTTTTGGGTTGCAGTTTGGGCACTCGGTCTCTAAAAGGTTCGCCATCACTGCGATACACATACAATGATGTGTGGTTAATTTTGTAAGATATAAGAAATTATATAAGAAGTTATATATTAAGTTATAAGATAAATTTTAAAATAAGTTAATTCATAAAATAAGTGTTCTATATATTAATATCTAGGCCATTTATCTAATTAAGCATGGTATTTATTAATTGGAGGAAGTCTACTTTTCCCCTGTATAAGTTCTCAGATGGCAGTTAGTCACTATATGATCCAGTGTCTTCCGGGCAGCACCTTGTACAAATATGAGAAATTGTGCTTTATTCTAATACAAGTCTTTCAAAAACTACAGTCATTTTCTTATGTGGATACTCATATTTCATGTTTTTTTGCCTGGGTCCCCTGACTTTATCAGCACATACATTGACCATTTCCAATACTATTTGTAACATTTTTTCTGAAGGTATATCTATCTGGGCTCTGGAGATATTTACTTTTAGCTGATCTTTTTTTTTAAATAATATTTTATTAGTTTTCTAATTTTACAATTAAGTATTTAAAAAGCAACATGGTGACTGGATTAATCAATAGTTCAATAACATACATAAATCTTTAGTATAAATCTCAAGTTACAACATCAGATATTTCCTCTCTTTTTCCCTTAATATCTACTATCTCATATTAGGCTAATACAGTTCTTATTATTATCAACTAAGTAAAAGCAACTTTGTTACATTTATCAGTCATTTTTAGTTTATACATATCTTAATTGTGTTGTCATTCAACCCTTGTATACAATCAATGTCCTGTTATTGCTTTTTTCTCAAGCTTTAATTTCCCATCAATATTCAAATTAACATCTATGTTCTATAACAGTGATGGCAAACCTTTTAGAGACCGAGAGCCCAAACTGCAACCAAAACCCCACTTATTTATTGTTGGATGCCGGGTGGGCGTGGCCCACTGGGTGGGCGTGGCTGTGGTAGTCATGGCAGATTGGGTGGGTGTAGACAAGGTGGGCATGATCACCTCGATATTGCTCATGGGGAGGGATGCCTGGGGGGGCCAGGCAGGGTTGGGGGAGATCCAGGGGGGTCTCTGGCAGGTGGTGTGGTGTGCAGGAGGCTCGTCCTGCTGGGTGAGGTGAGGCAAGGTGAGGCAGGGCAGGGGTGCCATTGTTAAAGGGCAAGGTGAGGCCGGGGCGGCTGCTGCCTGACACCATCAGCCCCTGCACACAGAGGCCAGCGAGCACATGGGTGCTAGGATACATCTGGCCATGTGGGACCTCGGCAAGTTAGTGGGTGGCTGGTTGAAGAGGGACGGTTGCCATCTTCAGGGCATGGCGCGCGTGCCCACAGAGAGGGCTCTGAGTGCCGCCTCTGGCACGCATGCCATAGGTTCGCCACCACTGGTGTATCATATTATTATGTGTTCTTTTCATACATTTTTACTGCTGCTATGTATTTCATACCATACACTAAATAAATCTCATATTTATCATAAACATTTTTAAAACTATGTCATATCACTCACCTAGAAGAATTTGTTGATTAGATGTTTCATCAAAAACAACAGCTGGCTGAGAAAAATGTTCCTTGATAATTGAGTTATTATGCAAATTCTCTGCAAAACAAAATACAGAGGACTAGGCTGAAGGGTAGACATAGTTACAAGTAGTCCTTAAGTGGGAACAGAATTTCCATTACTAAGTGATGCAATTGTGGAATGCAATGTCATGTGACCACATAGCTTAGCAACAGCAATCTTAGCAATCCCAATTGCTTCATTAAATGAGGATTATGGGTTGTTAAGTGAGGTTCTCACTTGCCCTTGATTTGTGACTTCCTACCGCTTGCAGAAAGCAAAGTCAATGGGGAAGTCGACAGGAAGTCCAAATAACAAATCTTTCCTTAAGTGCTAAGCAACGACTACCTTTATTTTCTATTAAAAAACAGGCCTAGAAATTTTACTAGCTCAGATTTAAACAAAAATCATAGGTGAGGCCCAACTATTTTGTACCTTCTGTTTATATAAAAGGCAAATGAAGTCATACGCTATATATCCATCAGGAAAAATGAACCATAAAACATTTGCAAAATTAATTTGAGCTTATTCTCAATTATTCTGATGCAAACAATATTGCTACAAAATGCAAACTATTAAGTCCCCAGGCTCTCAAACCCATTGCCCAATTCAAGGAACATAGGTTCTGAATACTTTCCAAATCTATATAGATATTATATCACCATGACGGTATCAAGCTACCTGTTGGCACTTCCCAAGGTTCATATTATACATGTATGTAAGTCTTGAATACTGAGAAAGAGAAAATAATGGTGCTCTCTATATAACACAACATTCGTATATGACTGCTGGAATGGAAAAAGTATTTGATCACTGATCTTCCCCTACATACCCCCAGCCTCTAATCAGGATTGTCAATGTCTTACAACCAATAATAATGGATAAATAGAAATACTCTGAAATATTCTGCCCTACTTAACTGCTAACACTGCTGTTTCCAAGGTAGATTTGGAAGATATCCCCTGCTATTTTTTTATTTCAAATTCAGCAGAGCTCATAAATTTTGATTAACTTTGACATTCATACCAAATATGTTCTGGGAAAATGATCTTTTCTTTTAGATTTTTCTGAATTTCTGAGGTATTCCGATGCTCAGGATGATTGCAGAAAAGTTCCATTGTATCTTGTTTAAACAGAAACATTGCTGCAATTCTGGTGATTGCAGCAGATGCACAGCAAGTGCTAAGATTATTTTTACTGATCAAAAAGATAATATATTTATACATCATGTATTTGAATAAACCATATCAATTAATCTGTCTCTACACTAATATATTCTTTCTTGATATCTGTCAAGCTGTATACTTAATTTTTTACATTTAAAATAATAATTTATAAAGGGCTGAGGAACACAGCATTATTCTCTAGCATTATCTTATTCCTATATTCCTACAAGCTTTTTTACAAAGTAAAATGGGTGGTAGTATTCTATGTGGAAATTTGTTTACATGCCTGGAAAAGTGTGACATCCAGAGACCACATTATTTAGCAACCGAAATGTCAGCAGTCCCTATTTCATTAACCAAGGACCTCCTTGCAATCTTGTGCCAGTTTTCAACAACTAAAGTCAGTGAGGAAGACGACAGGAAGTTGCAAGTTCCAGGCAGTACACAAGCCGGCTAGCAGGCATAAGCATAATGGGGCTTTGGGGCTAGTGCAGGAGGGTGAATGAGGGGCAGGTTTGGTGCAAGTGTGGGGGGCTTGGGCTAGCTGCTGCAGGTTGCAGGAGGGCATATGAGGGGCAGGGGCAGATGCGCACAGCAGAGCTTGGAATGGCTGCTGAGAGGTGGGCGAGGGCACACAAGGGCAGGTACAACACGAGGAAAGTTCATGGGGGGCATATGTCATGCAAATGAGCTTAGAGTAGCTGCTGCAGGGTGGGGAGAATGTGCAAGGATTATAGTGATGCAGATTGCAGTGGCTACTACAGGATGCAGGAGGCTGTGATAGATGCAAGCATGAGCATAGAAGGACTTCGGGTGCCTGCTATAGAGCATGTGATGCTAATGTAAGCTGGTTGCCAGATTAGACACAATTGTTAGAATGCTGGGATGGCCAGAACTTCAAGAACTACTTGTAATTTAGAAAGATTGTTGATCTACATATATAATGCTCTGATGACCATACCCATCTCTGAAACAGATTTCGTAGCAACTTTCGTTTTAGGTTTCCTAGATTCTCTTTGTTCAGGTGATATTATTCCACCAATTATAAAGCCTCCTGAAACAATAAAAAAATTAATTATATTCTATATAATACCAATTATAAATTGTTTTACTCAAGATGGGATGGAATTACTGGAATAACTGGGTTATCTATAGCAAATTACTACCAAGGCTATAACTTAATGACTGTTTTCACCCATAATTTCATAATGACATTCTCAAATGAAGAGAATTTTGTGAAATTATTTAGTTAAAATAAAAAGTTCCATTATGCAGAGGCAACATAAGGGGAAATCACCAGTATTTAGGTGATAATGTACAGTGAGGGAAAAAATTATTTGATCCCCTGCTGATTTTGTACATTTGCCCACTGACAAAGAAATGGTCAGTCTATAATTTTAATGGTAGATTTATTTTAACAGCGAGAGACAGAATAACAACAAAAAAGCCAGAAAAACATATTTCAAAAAAGTTATAAAATGATTTGAATTTTAATGAGTGACATAAGTATTTGATCCCCTATCAATCAGCAAGATTTCTGACTCCCAGGTGTCTTTTATACAGGTAATGAGCACTCTTAAAGGGAGTGCTCCTAATCTTAGTGTCAACGCTGCTAATATCGGATGTTTTTGCATTGACAACAGATGGAAATGTAGCCATCTTTTACCTTTTGCTTTTAGAGTTAGATGATGCTGGGAGGGGGGATGTGAATGAGAGTCCAGCTAGACATAAGAACACTAAACCTAGTGTGAGAAACAATGTTATAGTAACCAGAGCTGATAAGGAATTGGCAGGCTGGAGAACTGGAGAGGAGGTCCATGCTTCAAGCTAATTGGGGAATGTGATTTATGACTGTTAATTGAAGGAGGTAATTGTGCTTTGATACTAGGTGCTCAGGGGAGGGGAATTCAGTTTTGGGCTTCGATTAAGCAGTGCCAATATTATGCTACTCAAAATAAAGATTCTTTAAGGTAAACAATGCCTCGAAGTTCTTTTGAAGAGTTTCATCTGTTGGAACCATGACATTAAGCCAAAAACTCCAACTTTTTCCTAACTATCTTGGGGCCCCGAGCCCCAGTTGCTGTCCCTAGAAAGGAGGAATAAGCTGACAAAGATTTGGGGAAAATCTCAGCATGGAGAGAGAATGCTGGCAGCAGCTATTACCCCAGAGGGGGGAGCAACAGCCAGCATGCCGGTGGAGAAGGAACTTTTTCAGGCCTCCCAGCTGGGGACAAAGGCCAAGCTGCAAGGACAACTGATCTGGTCACCAGAATGGACCCCACCCAGCAAAGACTCCAGACACCTCGAGATGGCCTTGCCAACCTCAAGTGCTTAAAAAGCAGACGGGACTGAGCTGCTACGAAGGGACTCCCATACCTCACGTTCCCCATACCGGTGGAGAACCAAAAAACCGTGTACTGCTAAGGACTCGGGTGAGTGGACGTACCTGTCCACAGCACGTAGCCAGTCAGTGGAGAAGCTGGTGGAAAGATTTGAGGAGTTGGAAATTAAGAGTGGAGAACAACCTTCCTGCTCCCCATATGCAAGTGATCATGGTGATCGGAGAGGCAGCCACCAACTCCTACCAAGAGAGACCCCCAATCCCCCCCCCCTTGTACAGTTCGGGCAGCCTCCCAATCCTTGAAGCCACCCAGCTCGGGGCCCGCACAACAATGGGAAATGTCACAGCCTCCCCAGCTGGGAAGCCCCCAAAAGTGCAGCAGCAGATGGGGACCTTGCAACAACTGTGGATGATGCAGCTGCCAAGGGGTCAGCAATCACTGGGAGCGCTGCAGCAGCAATGGGACTGGCAGCCACCCCCGAACGTGCAGCAACTGCTAGAGGCCCACAACCGATGGAGATCCAGCAACAACTGCTTCCGGGGCTGCCACAAACCCCTGAAGGCCAACAGCAGTGGGGATGGCAGCACCACCCCCCACCCATGCAGCAACTGCTGGGAGGCTCGCCGCAGCCAGGGGTGCCACTATAGCAGCCGCTGAGACCGGTGGGAGTCGAACAGCAATTGGGAGTGCAATTGCCGCCTGCAATGCAACAGCGGGTGTGTGTGACAGCCCCTGGGCACGCAACAACCGTTGGGAGGCTTGCAGCAATTGGGAATGCGGCAGCCACTGTGGGGGGGGCAGCAACAGCTGGGGATGCAATATGCACAGTGGAGAGGCCAGCAACCACTGATGGCATCACCCCTTAGAGCCATCTTCGATGGAGACCCGGAGAAGCTGACCCTTTTCCTCAATCAGGTGCATTCTCACTTGAACCGTTGTGCCTATTTCTATCTGAACCCAGCCACTACGGTCAACGTGATTGTGTCCAACTTAGAAGGAGAAGCATCCAAGTGGCTGAACAATTTATATAACAAGCAAGCACCCAAGTTAGAAGACCCCCATCTCTTCTTCCTAGGGCTGAGAGCAAGGTTCGAGGATCCATCCATTGCCCTCAAAGCGGAGGAGCAAATCCACAAAATAAAACAAGCCGGCAGGCCTGCACAGGAATATGTACAAGGGTTTTGCAAGATAGCCGGTCAAATAGAGAGGTGTCCTGAGCGATCCCTGGTCCATCACTTCAGGGAGGGACTAAATGACCACCTCTCCCAGGCTTGTATTTATCGAGCAGTCCCTGATTAGCTGCGAGAGTGGTACCAGGCAGCAGTAAGACTAGATGTTCAGCTTGCCTGCTATCAGAAGCCACGCCACAGGAAGCCATGTTGAGGCCAAATCAACCCAAGAGACAGCCACCCTCCTGAAAGTCTCCAACTGCTGTGGCTGCAGAGAATCCCAGACTACCTACTGGGCCATCGATCAAGTGTTTTACATGCCGAGAGCAGGGGCACCAAGCAGCGAATTGCCCAGTCCCTTACCCCTAGCAGCAGAATAGACTGGGACCACCAGCGAGGAAGAAACCAACCCAGCAGCCAACAAAAGAGAAATCCAACTGGATCATACAGGAACCTATTGCTCAAGTCACGTCCCCCACGCAGGAGAATGTCGAGACCCAAGCCGGACCTGCCATCGCTCTACCTTCCTACCACAGCAACGATGAAGGAGAAAACGACCCAATGGTGAGTTGACACATCCCACCTTTTTCACTACTTGCCAAACTCATAATCCCTATGATGGGGGCATAGGTAGATTTAAAAGTATTAAGCATCGACTCCGGATGCTCCTGGTGCGTTATTAGCTTGTCACTTGCTCTGAAAATAGGCATACGAGCAAAGCTGCTGTCCAAACCCGTGAGGTTTGAGCAAGCCGATGGATCCCTAATGGCGGAAATTTAATCATGCAATTGACTGAACCCCTACGCTTAGAAATAGTTGAGCATTGGGAGTTCATTCGTTTCATGGTGGCTCCAAAAATGACTGAGGCTGATCCTAGGGCTAGCCTGGATAGACAAATGGAAGCCTTTTATCTGGTGGGAGAAGGGAATGAGGACTGTAAGACTACCTATAGGATCCAAGCCCCCCACTAATTCAATGGACGTTACAGAGACTTTAGCCTGCCCAATGACCTAGTGCACATGGCTGCCTTATCGCAACCAGGCGAACCACTCATTGCCAGCAAATACCGGGACCTAGCGGAGGCATTTAGTGAGAAAGAATGTGACTATCTGCCTCCCCACCGACGCAATGATTGCTCCATTGAGCTATTACCGGGAGTCAAACTCCCACGACCGAGGATGTATGCTATGTCCCCCCTTGAAATGGAGGAGATGCAGCGACATGTGGACAAAAATCTAGAGAGGGGATTCATTGAATGGGCCAAGTCTACTGTGGGAGCCCTGGTGTTGTTTAAAGAAAAAAAAGATGGGTCGCTTCATCTCTGCATGGATTATAAGCATCTGAACGCTGTGAGTGTGGAAAATAAATACTCCCTCCCCCTCCTGAAGGACTTACTAACCCACCTGGCAAAGGGGAGTGTCTTCTCTAAGTTAGACCTGAGGAAGGCATATTACCAGATGAGGATAAAGGAGGGAGATGAGTGAAAGACTGCTTTTAACTGTCCCATGCTGTTTGGACTACAGGGGGCCCCAGCAGTCTTCATGCAGCTGATTAATCAGGTTCTAAATGACCATTTATATAAAGGAGTTCTGGTGTATCTTGATGATATCCTGATATAAAGCACAAATATGACTGACCACATAAAACTAGTAAGGGAAGTGCTAAAGCAGCGGTTCTCAACCTATGGGTCGTGACCCCATTTGGGGTTGATCAACCATTTCACGGGGGTCGCCAAGCAAGGCTGTCCACAATTTTTTCCCCCTTTTCCGGCGGGTGCCTTACCTCCCTTGAGCTGGGCCAGCTGGTGGTCGGCCTGCTCCGTCTCTGCCGCTTGCCAGCTACACCTCGGCCGGCGCAGGGGGTGGAACCACGCATGCGCGGCGCTCCCGGGCAGGGAAAGTCCTCGACTTATGACCGATTGGGTAGTCCTCGACTTACGACCAGTTTAGTCCTCGACTTATGACCGGTTTAGTCCTCGACTTACGACCGGTTTAGTCCTCGACTTACGACCGGTTGGGGGTCGCGGCATTAAAAAGGTTGAGAACCACTGTGCTAAAGAAACTGTTGAATGCCAAACATTATGTCAAACTATCAAAATGTGAGTTTCACCAGACCCAATTGGATTATCTTGGCTACAGAATTTCCAGCAAGGGCATTGAAATGGACTCGACCAATGTGAAAGATGTAATTGAATGGCAGCCTCCAAAGACTCGCAAACAGCTCCAGAGCTTCCTAGGATTCGCCAATGTTTACTGTCAATTCATCCCCTCTTTTGCTGAAATTGCCCTACCCCTTACAGAATTACTAAAAATAGGCAAAGGGGAAGGAAAGCCATGACCAGGCCAACCATTAGCCTGGATTATGAACTGTCAGACTGCTTTTGAGAACTTAAAAAGACTATTTGCTGTTGAACCGGTCCTAAAGCATCTCTGCCCAGGGCAGCCCTTTGTAATTCAAACCGATGCTAGTGATGTGGCCGTCGGAGCTGTACTACTACAAAAGAACCAGAGTGGGACCTTACAACCTTGCGCCTCCACCTCAAAAAAATTCACTGAGTGCAAAAGGAGATGGGCTGTATGGGAAAAGGAGGCTTTCGCAATATGCTGGGCTCTATTAAACTGGAGACACTATCTAAAGGGAAGCAAGGTGCCTTTCAAGGTGTGGACTGATCACAAAAATCTAGAAGCACTGAAAACTCCCCGCAAATTGTCCCCGAAACAAGTGGGATGGGCGCAGTACTTTAACTGTTTTAACTTCACTTTAAAGTACATACCAGGAGGAAAAAACGTCTTAGCTGATGCTCTATTCAAACTGCCCCAGTACAAAAGCCAGAGTGAAGAGGTTAATGAGACAATTATCTCCAATCCACAAACAGCCTCTCAATTCACTCTGCGCAGAGTCCCACCTTCAAGAGCCCCTAACCCCGATGACCTTAGGGTAAAGAAAATAAAACAAGAACTCCTCACTGACCAATGGTTCAAGGACAATCAAAACTCCCTAACGTGCAGGGATGGTTTCGCTTACAAGGTGGGAAAGTTATACTTGCCAGAGACCCTCTGCCTTAACGCTCTCCGACATTGCCATGACGTAAAACAGGCTGGACACTTTGGATATTTAAAAGCACTACACCTCATCTGCCGGCAATTTTGGTGGCCGGGATTGAAACGGGATGTGGAAAGCTATGTCAGGAGTTGTGCTGTATGTGCCACTATGAAAAGAATTCCAGGGAAACCCCTTGGGCTGTTGCAACCAGTGGCAGACCCTTCCCAACCATGGGAAGAAATTGCGATGGATTTTATAGTAGATCTACCTAAAAGTAGAGGAAATAGTCATTTGGACTGTGATAGATTTGTTCTCAAAGCAGGCTCACTTCATCGCCTGAAAAGAACTCCCATCTGCCCAATGACTGACCAAAATGTTTTTGAAATACATCTACCGGCTGCAAGGCGCACCTAAACGAATAATCTCGGACAGGGGGGTGCAGTTCACAGCTACGTTTTGGAGAAGTTTTCATAAACTAATTGGCTCATCTCAAGGTCTATCATCTGCTTTTCATCCGTCTACTAATGGAGCGGCTGAATCCGCGAACTCAATGGTGGAACAATATCTCAGATGCTGTCAGCTACCAACAAACTAACTGGACTGACCTCCCTTTCGCAGAGGTGGCTTACAATAACTCTGTTCACAGCAGCACTGGTTTCATGCCTTTTAAAGTAGCCACAGGAAAAGAATTCAACCTGATACCCGAATACCCCCAGGCGCCCTCCACTTCCCAGACACTTGATCAATATCAATGGGTGAAGGGGTGGGAAGAAGTTTGGAAAACCACAAAAACAGCTTTAAAAAAGGCTTCGGAGACATACAAAAAGCAGGCGGATTAAAAGGGGCTTTTCATCGAACATTCAAAGTTGGGGAAAAGGTTCATCTGTTAACTAAATATTTACAGCTCAAATTACCTAATAAGAAGTTAGGACTGAAGTTCTTGGGACCTTTCCCCACTGTAAAGATCATTAACCTGGCCATAGTGGAATTAAAACTCTTTAAGCTCTTAGGAAAAAATCACCGTTTTCCATTGCAGCCTGTTGAAACCTTATTGGGGTTCCACTTTAAGACCCCCCCTAAGAAGGCACCCGGCCCCTCGTGGTGGCAGGACAGAGCCACTATGAAGTAAAGCGTATTCTTGATTCTAGAATTTTAAAAGGGAAATTGCAGTATTTAGTTCAATGGAAGGGAAGCCACTTGGGTGAAGTCTAGCGATGTGAAAGCTGATAGACTCTTTAACAGGTTTTATAAGAAATACCCTAACAAACCAAGAGGCAATCCCTAACCTGTGCTTTTGTTTATACTACAGGATTTATCCTTTTTGTAAGGGGGGGAGGATGTCAACGTTGCTAACATCGGATGTTTTTGCTTTGACAACAGATGGAAATGTAGCCATCTTTTACCTTTTGCTTTTAGAAGTAGATGCTGCTGGGAGGGGGGATGTGAACGAGAGTCTAGCTAGACATAACTAAACCTAGCGTGAGAAACAAGGTTATTTTAACCAGAGCTGATAAGGAATTGGTGGGCTGGAGAACTGGAGAGGAGGCCCGCGCTTCAAGCTAATTGGGGAATGTGATTTATCACTGTTAATTGAAGGAGAGAATTGTGCTTTGATACTAGGTGCTCAGGGAAGGGGAATTCAGTTTTTGGCTTCGATTAAGCAGTGCCAATATTATGCTACTCAAAATAAAGATTCTTTAAGGTAAACAATGTCTCGAAGTTCTTTTGAAGAGTTTCATCTCTTGGAACCATGACACTCAGCTTGTTACCTGTATAAAATACATCTGTCTACGGAAGCAATCAATCAATCAGATTCTAAACTCTTCACCATGGCCAAGATCAAAGAACTATGAAAGGATGTCAGGGACAAGACTGTAGACCTACACAAGGCTGGAATGGGCTACAAGACTATCGCCAAGCAGCTTGGTGAGAAGGTGACAACAGTTGATATGATTATTCGCAAATGGAAGAAACACAATTTCCCTTGGTCTGGGGCTCCATGCAAGATCTCATCTTGTGGAGTTTCAATAATCATGAGAACAGTGAGGAATCAACCTAGAACTACATCGGAAGATCTTGTCAATGATCTCAAGGCAGCTGGGACCATAGTCACCAAGAAAACAATTGGTAACATACTACGTCGTTAAGGATTGAAATCCTGCAGTGCCCACAAGGTCCCCCTGCTCAAGAAAGCACATGTACAGGCCCATCTGAAAATTGCCAGTGAACATCTGAATGATTCAGAGGAGAACTGAGTGGAAGTGTTGTGGTCAGATGAGACCAAAATTGAGCTCTTTGGCATCAATTCAACTCACCATGTTTGGAGGAGGAAGAATGCTGCCTATGACCCCAAGAACAACATCCCTACCGTCAAACAAGGAGGTGGAAACATTATGCTTTGGAGGACAGGACAACTTCATAGCATCATAGGGACGATGGACAGGGCCATGTACTGTCAAATCTTGGGTGAGAACCTCCTTCCCTCAGGGCCGTGGATGGGTATTCCAGCATGGCAATGACCCAAAACACATGGCGAAGATCTCAAAGGAGTGGCTCAAGAAGAAGCACATTAAGCTCCTATAGTAACCTAGCCAGTCACCAGACATTAATCTCATAGAAAATCTGTGGAGGGAGCTGAAGGTTCAAACTGTTAAACATCAGCCTCAAAACCTTAATGACTTGGAGAGGATCTGCAAAGAGGAGTGGGACAAAATCCCTCCTGAGATCTGTGCAAACATGGTGGCCAACTACAAGAAACATCTGACTTCTGTGATTGCTAACAAGAATTTTGCCACCAAGTATTAAGACATGTTTTGCGAAGGGGGTCAAATACTCCTTTCACTCAATAAATGCAAATCAATTTATAACTTTTTTGAAATGCCTTTTCCTAGATTTTTTTTGCTGTTATTCTGCTCTCACTATTAAAATAAACCTACCATTAAAATTATAGACTGATCATTTCTTTGTCAGTGACCAAACGTACAAAATCAGCAGGGGATCAAATAATTTTTTCCATCACTGTAGGTGTACATAGACTTCCTATTACAACATTCCTGAATAATGTGATTGAAAAAGAAAACGATTTCATTTCTTAATTGGAATGGAATCTGGAGTAGAAATCTTTGTGCTATAAGCAAACGATCTCATGGGATTTCATTGTTATTCAGACAATTCTGGGTTCTAATTTTTTTAAAATTTTGTGTTAAAAATACAAAATATAATCCAAGTCCTTCTAATCCAATTTTACCAGGTTGGTGTACTGGTTAAGGCATAGAAACCAGAAGACTATGAGTTCTAGTCCCATTTTAGGCATGAAAAAACAGCTGTTTGACCTGGCCCATTCTCTCTCAGCCTGACTGATTATCTAGTATATCTATATAAATACATATATTTACCATGTAGCTCCCGCATGTAGGCAATGTTGGATCTTTGCATTGTAGAGATTTAGCGATATATAAGTTTCAGAAGAATGTATATAGCAAAAATTTAGAGAACATGAACTTCTGTGCAGTATGCATTTGGCTGAAGCAGAACACTTAGGTTCAAAGTAAGTGTAAAGCCATCTTTTAGATTTTTCAGTTTGCATTTCTAAAAAAATTAGTGTTTCATCACAAATAATAACAGCTTCCCCATTCAAAGCCTTTGAATTACATACCTGAAGCACTTATCTTATAATCAATACGTTCTCCTCGCCAATATTGCAATGGTTTAATACGTATTCTTTTGGACCGACGAACATTGGGTGTGTCTGTAGGCAATACTAATAGAAAGGAAACATACAAAAATATGCATTTCAGGTAAATCATTCATATATATGATAAATATATCTTCTATATAAATAAAAATGTAAATGTTCGTTTGTTCAAAATCTTAAATCTTCGAATGTTCTTCACCGATTGCTTTGAAATTTTGACACAACATTGCACTCGAATACGCACGTGTTTTTATATACCTATATTATATAGATGTCACACCTGTGACAGGTAAAACATGCTTTTTTTGAAAAACAGCGCCATCTGTTGGACGTAAAAGCAATACACGCGTTTACCAGAGTGAGCCACAGCAACACGTGGCTGGGTACAGCTAGTGATAAATATATACATACACACACACACACATACATATACACAAAATTTTGTTGTCATTCTTAGGCAACATGGTTCATAATTCCATGTTGTTTTTAATTGTAAGGTTTACATCAATATTTTTTTCAACGTTTCTTTCCTTCACACTATATATACAATTTTCCATTTTAACCTTATCACTTAAAAAGAAGTTTAATCTGTTTTAATAGCTCAATCTTTTCATTACCCTTGTAGCTAAAAAGTAATACAAATCTAATTTTGCCAAATTTAAGACTCAATACGTTGTCATATTAAAGTATTTTATATTATATTTGTCTGATGTATTTGGAATTTAGTAAATATTTTCCAAGAATCCTCAAGCATATTTTAATATTAAAGGGAAAAAAATACAAAAAGATACATTTTCAGACTAAGAAATTTTATGAAAAGCCGTAAGCTTTTATACGTTATAGCTTATTTCATCAGATGTTAGAACTGATGAAATACCTCAGGAGTCTCAATTTGGCAATTTTTGCCCCTTCTCAAAATAAACATGTAAAGACTTAACACAGCTGTCCCAGTCAGGAAAGCACAACTCTTAACGTCATGAGAAACAGTAGTTGCAGTAAAGTCAAACAAAATCTATCATTTCTGAACAAAGCACCAAGCTATTCTTCCCACTTTAAAATCCAACCCCCTGACCAGTCTATCGGCAGCCAATACAATGCCACAAAGTTGTTTTGAGAGCGCTGAGGTACAAACTATATAATGAGTCATCCTCAGGGTGCAGCGACCTTGAAGTGGAAATGATTGGGAAGAAGTCTACTTTTTCTCTGAAAATGATACCCCTCTCTAATTTTCATGCAGTTACTGCAAAAGTGAAAGCATGCAAAGAATGCTGCCCCAAAGCATCCTCCTCCCCCCTCCACCAGAATGGCAGGGCACCTAAAAAGGCAACCTGACATGCTCCCACTTCAAAAGACAGGGATTAAACCGGCAGAAGACTGGGTAGAAAAAAGAAAATTAGATCACTTAGCTATATCAGGATATTGATTATGAAAACATTTCACTAATCTAGGGGCTTTAACAGGTCTATAATCAAACTACTCCTTCTGGCTGGTAGGAAAGTCTTTCCATGCCACTAAATATTGGAGGTTCCCCTATGTTTGCGAGAGCCCAAAATCTCCTTCACTTCAAAATGTTGTTCACCCTCTATCATTATTGGTTCAGAGACAGGGGGAGGAATTGGTCTAAGGGGTGAGGAAACTTCAGGTTTTAATAAATTGCAATGAAAAACCGGATGGACTCGGCAAAGTGACTTTGGCAAGTCTAGTTCCATGGTAAAAGGCGCTTAATGGGGAAAGGCGACACAAACTTAGGCCCCAATTTCTTAGAGGATTGAAGTGAGTGCAAATGAGTAGATAGGTAAACTTGGTCCCTCACTTTAAAAGACTTTGGCTCGGTCCTTTTTTATCAGATTGTGCTTTATAAACATCGCAATGTTTATAAACATCTACGAATGCTTTTTGTATGATGGGCCACTTGTTTTGCAGTTGGGAGACCCATTCATACAAAGACAGCACCCTAGGGTCATCAACAGGGAGCTCAGGCATAGACTTGAAATCTTGACCAGTAGCCACTCGGAAAGGGGTGAAACCAGTACTGCTGTGTACAGAATTATCATATGCCACTTCTGCAAATGGCAAGAGGTCATTCCAGTTATTTTGTTTATAATTAATAAAACATCTAAGGTATTGTTCCAAGATTGAGTTGGTTTGTTCACATATCCCATTCGTTTGGGGGGATGATAGAACTAAGTCCTTGGTCAGTCCCCAATATCTCCCAGAAGGCTCACTAGAACTTGGAAGTGAATTGCTCCCCCTATCTGAAATAATGTCTTGAGGTGTTCCATGTAGTCGATAAATATGATGCAGGAATGGTTTTGCAAGACCTCGAGCAGAAGAGATCTTTTGGCAAGGGATAAAATGCACTTGTTTGGAGAATAAATCAGTTACCACCCAAATTACTATATTTCCTGCACTTTCAGGGAGTTCTATAATAAAGTCCATAGAAATCTCTCTCCAAGGTTCTGATGGCTCAGCTACTGTTTGAAGGAGTCCTGGAGCTTTCCCTTATCGCTGCTTTGCCGAAGTGCACACCGGGCAGCTGGCAACATAGCCCTCAATGTCTTTCTTGAGGGATGGCCACCAAAACTGCCTCTTGACTAAGTGCAGTTTTTTTCACAAACCCAAAATATTCCACCATTTTTAACTCATGGCAGGTCCTCAAAACCATGAGTTTCTGACCCTCTGAAGCATGAAGTTTTGCCCCCACACAGGCTAGTCCATCTCGGATTAAGCAAACATTGCTGTGAGTTTAAAACCACTTATCATCCTTCAGGGTGACTTTTAGGGCAAAAGTCACATCTTTGGATACTGGAGCTTTTTCTCTCCCTTGGGCTTGGGTGGTCATTTGAGCGGCCAACTGATGGGGGAGGAGCTCTGGTTTAATTATTTCTGCTTTGGAGGAATTGTATTGCGGCATCTGTGACAGTGCTTCTGCCAAAAAATTCTTCCCCCCAGGAAGATAGCGCAGAATGAAGTCAAAGCGGTTAAGATATTGTGCCCATCATGCTTGTTTAGGAGAAAGCTTGTCAAGAGTTTTTAGTGCCTCTAAATTCTTGTGATCAAAAGGTATTTTACTTAGCTCTAAGAAGTGTCTCCAGGTCAGGAGCGCCCATCTCACGGCGTCTCTTTCTCCCACACAGCTCATTGTTGCTCAGTCTCAGAAAGTTTTTGGGACGTGTAAGCACAAAACTGCAGTTGTCCGCTTTCATTTTCCTGCAGTAATACTGCTCCCACAGCCATATAACTTGCATCAGCTTGTATAAAAAATGGTTTCACCTGCTCAAAACTTTTAACACTGGCTCAGCCGTAAACAAGCACTTGAGCTTCTCAAAAGCAGCTTGGCATTACATCAACCATTTAAGCAGTTGACTAGGTTTAGATTTGTCCCCTCCTTTAAAGTAAATTCGTAAAGGGGAGAGCTATTTGAGCAAATGAGGGAATGAATTGCCAGTAAAAGTTTGCAAGTTTGCAAATCCTAGGAAGCTTTGCAGCTGCTTCCTAGTGTGGGGTGGTACTCACTCCAGCACATCTGACTTTTTCCAGGTCCATTTCAATTCCTTTATGCGAGAAGCGGTAGCCTAGATAATCTATCTTACTTCAATGGAACTCGCATTTAGAGACTTTGGCATACACTTTGGCAGCTTATAGTTTTTGGAGGACTGTTCTCACGAGCTTCACGTGTTCTGCTTTGATTTCAGTGTAGATTAAAATGTCATCTAAATACACAAGCACCCCCTTGTATAGATGCAGGACTTCATTAATCAATTGCATAAACATAACTGGGGACTTCTGTAGTCAGAAAGGGAGCATTTTAAATTGGAAACAACCCAGCAGGCAATTAAAAGCAGTTTTCCATTCATCCTCTCTCTGATCCTCACACGGTAATAGGACTCCAGCAAGTCCAGTTTAGTAAAGATCTTGATCTTGGCAAGATGGGCTAGCATGTCTTTCATCAGAGGTAGAGGGTAAACATTCTCTACACACACACAGTGTTTAACCCTCTATAGTCCACTAATAGACGGAGGGTCCCATCTTTCTTTTCCCAGAATAGGAATGTTGCCATCACCCTGGGTCACACTGGTTGAATGAAGCCTCAGGCCAGATTTTTATCAATGAACAACTGGAGTTCTTCCAGCTCTCTAGGGCTCATCTAGGACAATTTTGGTTTTGGCAACTTGGCACCAGGCTTCGACGGATCTCTATAGCAGGGCTTTTCAACTGGTGGTACGCGTACTATCTGTGTACTTTGGCACGTGGCATGCAACCATCCTAGAGAAGTGTAGCGGGGGAGGGGAATGAGCTGAAGCAACCCAAGCCTGAGGGAGAGGCAGCTGGAGCTGCAGGACTGTTGGGCTTGACAGAAGCCCCAGGAGCACCGGCAGGCTCCAGCTGATTGGCACTTCCGAAAGCAGCGCAAAGCTGGAGGTGAACTGAAGAAAAGGGGAGGTGAGGAGAGGATATAAAAGGAGGTGGTTTTGGCAGGAAAGGGGAAAAAAAGACAACAGGGAAAGAGAAGAGGACAGAAAAGAAGCTGTGGAAGGAGAGCTCAGCAGGTGGGGAGGAAAAAGAGACAGGGAAGAAGATGTTGCTGGAAGAAAAGGTCCCCTGGTTCATTTTCTCCAGCCAGGAGAATGCAATCAGCGCTGATGAAATGAAAAGCCGGCAGACGAGCATGTCAAAAAGGAGGTGGGTTTATTTCAGAAGCCAGTGGGTTCCTGGTCAACTGGCAACTTGAATGGATTACTATAAGGATTTTTATACAGTTTTTACAGCATAATTCAGAGGCTCGGTTTGTGTGCTTTGGTTATTGAAATATTTTAGTCTGTTTCACAAAGGCTAGCAATGAGTCCAAAGTGTTGGCTTCGTACGTTTAATCCCTTTAAACAAATGTAATTAGTTTTACCCCCTTATCTTGAGTCTGTCTATGGCAGGGGTAGGCAACCCAAAACACTCAAAGAGCCACTTGGACCCGTTTCCCACCGAAAACAAAACACTGGGAGCCGCAAAACCCTTTTAATATCTAGAAGGAAGATTAACACTGCATATATCCTTTTTTACCTTTATCTATCTATCTATCTATCTATCTATCTATCTATCTATCTATCTATCTTTCTATCTATCTATCTATCTATCTATCTATCTATCTATCTATCTATCTATCTACCTACCTACCTACCTACCTACCTACCTACCTACCTATAGGATATATGCAGTGTTATCTTCATTTTAGATGTCAAAAGGGTCTCTCTCTGTCCCTCCCTTTCCTCTTTCCTCTCTCCCTTTCTTTCCTCCCTCTTTCTCTTTCTTTCCTTTCTCTTTCCTCTCTCCTTCTTTCCTCTCCCTTTCTCTTTCTTTCCTCTCCCTCTTTCTCTCTTTCCTCTCCCCCCTCTTTCTCTCTCTCTCTTTTTCCTCTCTCTCTCTTTCTCTTTATTCTTTTTCTTTCCTCTTTCTTTCTCTCTCTCTCTTTCCTCTCTCCTCTCTCTAATTGTGTCGGATATGCACTGAGAAATCTATTTGCAGATTGACAAAAAAGTAACACGAACCTATTTATTGTATATGTTTTATTATAAATCGTGAATTGTATATTGCATCTGTACATGTACATCTGCTGTGGTTTTGTGATGTGCAAATTTCAGCATGGGTTTCATTGAGGTTTTCAGTTGCTTTTCTATTGTTTGGGGGAGTTTAAAAAATTGTTTTGGGTTTGTTTGGTTTTTTTTTTGGCAGGACACACCCAAAGACCCAGGTTTATATTTAAAAAAAACTAGGGAAAAAATGGACAAGCTAATACACCCTTTCGCTGAAGGGGGAGGGAGGGGGGAAAAGGGAGCGAAGTTTTCTGAGTTCTCATTGACTACCTGTAAGCCCAAATGAGTACATTATTCCCTCCTCCGTGTGCACCCCTTTATGCCAGTGCTGAGCTCAGGGTGTGTGCATGCGCGTGTACGCATACGTGTGACTCCCCGCTTCCCCTGCTCCCCTTTTATCCTGCTCTCTATTCCCTCCTTTTCCTGTTTTGGAAACTTCTGTACTCCAGTCCTCTGGATTGGCACCATCTAAGCCGCTGCTGGTTGTTTGATTCCTTTTCCTGGCCAAAAAAATCGTCTTCATCCAGCCCCCGAATCCCCCCCACCCTCTCCCGCACCCCAATTGGTCTTTTTGTGTATTTAGGAAGGAATTTTTAACAGACACTTTTTATATTAAAAGAAACCTATATATTGAGTGACAAGGCTGCCTCATGTGCTTCTGTTAGCTGTTTGGTTGGATGCTCCTTGGGGGATCTGGGGGGGCAAAAGGGGAGACAGCTTTGCGGCAAAGGCTTCGCGGGGCGCTGCTGGCGGGGCAGGACAAGCGAGGCGGCTGTGAGGCTCGCTCTTGGCTGCGCCCCGGAACAGCTCCAAGGGAATTGAACCCAGCTTCCTGGTGCTGGCATCCAGGAGGCTGATGCAGCTGAGTTCGCGCCGCGACAGAAACTAGCCAAGCAGCACAGGTGTGAACGCAGCCACGGCGGCAGCCTTTGCACGTGAGGCGGCCGAACGCGGGCCTGAGATTTGGGCTGCTTGCAAGCCAGCGCCCCTGAAAAGCAGAGTCTCTCTTTTCCCCCGTCGACGCTCCTGCTCCAAAGCCTCCGACCCCTCCATTCTACCAAAGCGCTGCCTGCTTTCCTTTTTTCTCCTCCTTTCCCTCGGTCCCAACTCAGTTCAGAGGGATGGATGAGAGTTCTCCTGGCCCGCGTTTCAAAGGCATGATTAGACGCACGATGCCCACAATAACTGGACCACAAGGTGCAACTTCCCCCAGGATGCAGAAAGAATTTGGGCAAGCGACGTTTTGGAGATCAGGCCGGGGCTAAGTCGGGCCCTCATGGGGCGCAATTAGGGGTGGCTCCGTGGAGTCCCGGGCGCCTGACTCATGGAGGAAGCTGGCAGGGAGCCCACAATTAGCAGGCCCGCCAGGAGGCGGCTGAGGTGGACACCCCCGCGGCGGTCAGGTGGCCCCGCCAAGCCAGACGGGATTCCTGGCCAGCCTCGCTGGGGCTCCTTGGCCTCCCCGGCCAGCTGTCTGGTCCAGTCTTTCCAGGGCCAAATTCTGCAGGCTGTGATTCGCACAGCCCCGGTCCAGAGGAGCGCCCTCACCCCGGTGGATGGGGGGCTAGGAGGGGAAAGCCCCTTCCGATGCCCAGAAAGCAGCGCTTCCTCTCCTGCTCCGGGCATGGGAAAATGGGCGGAGATCCCGGGAAGGCCAAGCGTGGGGGGGCGGAGGCAGCAGAAGGCGCCCGGGGCACCACGGGCCGGCCCGGGGAGATGCGTGGCCGGCTCAGCTGCCCAGGCATGGAACAGCCCGGGGATGGCCCAGGAAGTGATGCCCCTGCTGGCCACCGGCCCAGCCCAGACTGTTGCCCAGCCCGGGGAGACGCATGGCTGGCTCGGGTGCCCAGGGAGCGGCCCGGGGACGGCCCAGGAAGCAATGCCACAGCTGGGACTGCTGCCTGTTATAGGTAAGCTGGGGGGCATGCCACCTGCCCCATGGCCGCTTCATGGCGGCGTTCCGCAGACTCGGAGCCCCCTCCCTCCCCCCTGCCACTGACCCTCTGTCTCCGGCTCTGCTGCTGCTTGGCCAATGGTCGCACCGGCTGGACATTGCAGGGGCTGCTCTCCCTCAGGGCTGCGGCTTGCGGGAGGGAGAGCAGCGAAGGCTCTGGCGGGCCGCTCCCAGCAGGAATCCCGGGGCTTCCCCATGTGGCTCCCCAGCCACATGCGCCTGGGACGGGGCCAGCTCAGGAAAGGGACTTCCTGGCCGCCCTTCTCCCAGGGGGCAGGGCACCCAGGCGCAGGGCCAATCAGGAGCCTTGCGAGGGGGCAAGTATGCATGAGAGAGAGGGGAGGAAGCGCAAGTGCCTCTCTCTCTCCTTGTCTATCTCTGCAAATGGCGGAGGAGGCTCCGGAGCCGCAGGGGATGGCTCAAAGAGCCGCATGAGAATTGCTAACCCATGCCCTAGCCCTTTACTTGAACAGTATCAGGTTGGGCAAGGCTGCTATACAACCAAGTAAGTTTCACAGATTTAAAATCTATATATACAAAGTAAAATTGAGAATATAACTGTTACAGTGATCAGATATAGTGAGAAATTTCCATTTCACCTGTGCCTCTTGCCATTTCCTTTCTACATCTGCATACATTTTCCCTAACAGCAGTTAAACTATACTGTATTGCCAGATCAATTTTTATCATTGTGCCACTAATCCTAACATGGTTTCATTAAGCCATTAATCACTAATAGACATGCTTGGACTCAGTAAGAGCATATTATTTCTGTTTAGTTTAGTTCCTACTTTGTAGTTCCTACTTTTGTTCCTACCTTTTTCAGCTCTCCTTTACTGCTGTATTTCAAAAGAGGCACATATACTATCTAAATTCTGGTATAAAGCTGTTCACTCATCTATTACTATTTTCTAATATATATTTTAAGTGATTTTTAAATGCCAAATGATTTATATGTTACATTTCATATAAAGAAGTGTTCTCAATATATTGAAAGATCATAGTAACAGTTCAAAGATTAAAACTGTAAACCATATATTTAATTGAAAATATATGAATACACATAACAATATGAATACATTATTACATGATCCAAAATTTTATAATATTGATTTAAATAATGCATGCAATCTGTATACAAGAAAATTATACTGAATAATACAAAGTACTATACCTGTACTTTTAAAATGTATTTTAAAGCTGCCAATGTCTATTATCAAGAAACATTTATAACCTAAAAATAAACTTATACATTTTGTGGTTTTGTATGGAACATCTCCCATAGAATCACTAAACAGAAGGCTGGGGGGAGGGGGGTTATACAAAAAAAACATAAAACATAATGAAACTTACTTAGTTTATGCTTTAATGAATTTGATATTGAGCTATGTAGATTCTCCTCCAAATTTGCAGATTTATCTAAAAATAATACAGAATATAAAAAAATACAAAAAGGAAAAAATTAGAAGAGTGCCAGATGCAATATTACTATGGATGTACTTAAGTGTAAATTAGTCTGAGCTTGGAAAAACTGTCCAGGTGTCCCATTCAAAATTTGGAATATAATGTTTCAAATTACCCTGAGAATTTGAGTAATTGTCTTGCACCTTACTTTTTTTAAACCCCCTTGGACAAAACAGGAACTTTAATTGTTATGAGTGGATAAAATAATTTGGAGGCTTGGTAGAATGTAAAAAACACTTGTAAGTCATTGTTTTTAGTGCCATTATAACTTTATACTATCACTAAACAAATAGTTGTTAGTTGAGGACTAGTTGTATTAAAAATGCCAGGAAAAATGCTTAGGAAACTATAGGCCCGTGGTGGCGAACCTATGACTAACGTGCCACAGATGGCACGCAGAACCCTCTCTGTGAGCACGCGCGCCGTCGCCCAGTCCTAGGCCTTCAGCTGGATTTTATAAAACCTTTTCGCTTTAGGCCTCCGCCGCCGTGTGCAAAAAAAAAAAGATTCAATCAATTTCAACTTCTCACGGGAAAAAAAAAATCTCGCAAAGTTGGAATTGATTGATTGAACTTTTTAGTCCTACCCAGTCTGCCATTACCACTGCAGCCATGCCCACCCAATGGGCCACACCCACCCAATGGGCCACGCCCACCCGACACCCGACGATACATAAGTGGGTTTTGGGTTTCAGATTGGGCACTCGGTCTCTAAAAGGTTCACCATCACTGCTATAGGCCAATAACATCTTTCCCACAATATTTAAATTACTTTCAGACATAAGAGCAGACAACTTCCAAGATTACTTACAAGAAAATAACATCTTTCCAATAGAACAGAAAGAAAATGAAAGAAAAAGAAGAGATACAAAAGATCAAATCCTGATTAAAGGCTAAAGATTTTTACTTAACGGTCCTGAAAGCTGATTCACCATCAACATCACGATCTAAAGAAATGATAGACTTAACAGAACAATTACTTGTTGAATTGCCTGGAGCTATATCACCATCTGCAGGAGATTTTCAGTGTCAACAATTGTTTGAGGAAAAAGAAGATCCAAAGGAGCAAAGAATGACCCGTGCAGCTTACAAACATAAGGAGAAAGAACAACAAAAAGGACTTGCACCTAAAACATATTCATTTACCTCAGAGGGAGGGGCAAGGCCAAAGAGATCTGTTATGACAGATATACAAGGAATGCTCCAGAAGCTTCACAAGCCAAAGGACGGTTAAGTTGATGACGTTGAATGTAAATGGTTTGAATTCACCACAAAAAAGGAAGAAAATATTTTACTATTTGAAACAACATAAAAATGATATTATACGTTTGCAAGAAACGCATATTACTTTAAAAGATCAAAAGTATTTGATTAATTCTAGATTGGGACTTCATTTTATTGCTCCAGCACCGAAGAAAAAAGCAGGTGTGGTTCTTTATGTTAAGAAAGTTACTGCCAAAATTAATAGATTTTGATACAGAAGGAAGATTTGTGCTTATTGAACTTTTATTGAATGGAAGAAAATGCCTTATTGTTGGCTTATATGCACCCAATCAATACCAGCAGCAGAAACAATTTTATAAACTTTTGCATCAGAAGATAATTCAATTGGATTATAAATCTGTCATTATGATGGGAGACTGGAATGGTGTTATAGATCACATGAAAGATAAAAAAAACTTTTTCTAAAGTGCTGACTCAAGTTAAATTGCCTAAAAGTTTTTTTGCATTGCAAGAGGATTTGGAATTAAGAGATATTTGGCGAGACCGGAATATAGGAGAAAGGGACTTTACTTATTTTTCGGATAGACATCACTCTCATTCTAGAATTGACTTTTTTTTTTGATAACTAATGATTTGCTCTCCAGGGTTAAGAAAGTGAAGATTCAGGAAGGTACCACCATCGTGGAGATGTGCATTCATATCACTTATACCGAAGGAGGGTCAGGACTTGACTCAGCCCAAGAATTATAGGCCAATATCCTTATTAAACACAGATTATAAGATTTTTACAAAACATTTAGCTAATAAATTAATGCAAGAATTGAAGCGGATAATTCATGTTGATCAATCTGGATTTATAACTGGTAGATACATGAAGTACAATGTTAGACAAATTGTGAATTTGCTTGAATATTTGGATAAAAACAATCAAATTCCAGCGGCTTTTATCTTCTTGGATGCTGAAAAGGCGTTTGACAAATTGGACTGGCAATTTTTATTGCGAGTGGTGGAGAGAATGAATTTTGGAGACAGATTTTGGTCAGCTCATAAGGCTATTTATCAACTACAATTAGCACAAGTCATAGTAAATGGAGGATTGACAGACATATTTAAAATTGAGAAAGGTACAAGGCAAGAATGTCCATTATCACCTTTATTATTTGTTCTGACACTGGAGATTTTATTAATTAAAGTTCGTGAATCATCGGTCATAAAAGGAATTACACTAGAGGAGAATGACTATAGGCTGAGAGCTTTTGCGGACGACCTGCTTTTTACCTTATCTCAACCTATTGACTCTGCAAGAAATTTGACACAGATTTTGACTCAGTATGGGAAAGTTTCTGGATTTAAAGTAAATAACAATAAGACTAAAATATTATCTAAAAATATGTCTAAGAAAGATAAAAGAGACTTTGGTTAATTTAACTGGTTTTGAAATAGTAAAAAAGGTGAAATATTTGGGTGTTTACATCACAGCCTCCAATGTTAAATTGTACAAAAATAATTATGATAAGTTATGGACAAAAACTCAAAAGGATTTAGATGAATGGAAAAACTTACAGTTATCCTTGTTGGGGAGAATTTCAGTGGTTAAAATGAACATTCTTCCTAAGTTTCTCTTTTTGTTTCAAATGATACCTATCTTAAAAAAGGATTCAAATTTGGAGGTGTGGCAAAGGGGTATCAATAGATTTATCTGGCAGGGCAAAAAGCCGAGGGTTAAATTTAAAATTATGCAAGATGTACGGAAAGAGGGGAACTAAAAGCCCCAAATTTAAAATTATATTATGATGCGGTGGCTTTAACTTGGATTAGTGATTGGATTAATTTAACTAATAGAGATATATTAATTCTTGAAGGTTGGGATTTATTTTATGGATGGCATGCTTATTTATTTTTTGATAAGAAAGTTGATCAAGTCTTTAAATCTCATATTTTAAGAATTGCACTTTTGCGAGTTTGGAAGAAGTATTATTATAAATTAAATTTTAAAATTCCAATTTGGGCAATTCCAGAACATGCAATACAAGGAATCACAAGGGGAGTTAAATTGGAGGGGATTGTTTATAAGGATTTACTTATCTTAAGGGGACGGGAATGGCAATTTAAAGTATTGGAAGATTTGAAACGAGATAATATTCTCCATTCCTGGTTCTCATATTGTCAATTGGTTGATAGGTGGCGTATAGATCAAAAGCTTGGTTTAACTTTGGAAGATGTAAATTGGATAAAGCAGATTAAAGATCAAAGTAGAGCTCATATTAGGAGAATTTATAGTGTTTTAATAGAACTGAATTCGGAAACAGAATTAGTTAAAGATTGTATGATTAAATGGGCACAAAATATTCAAGACCCAATTACGCTGGATACATGGGAAGCAATTTGGGTAAGAAATGTGAAGTTTACTCAAGCACAGAATTTAAGGGAAAATTTTTATAAAATGTTTTATAGGTGGCATTTAGACCCCCCCCAAAAAATTGTCTTGCATGTATCCTAACCTGCAGCCTAAATGTTGGAGATGTGGTAATTTAGATGCAACTTATTATCACATTTGGTGGACATGTAGGGACGTAAAGGCTTTTTGGATTAAGATCTGGTGGAACATCCAACAGATTTTTAAGAAAAAGATAAAATTCACACCACAATTATTTTTATTGGGTATTATGGAAAATTTGGATCTTAAAGAAATGAATTTGATGCTGTACTGCATAACAGCAGCAAGGTTATTGGTCGCTCAAAATTGGAAGAAGGATGTATTACCTACTATGGACGATTGGAGATTGAAGGTGTCATATTTTGCAGAAATGGCCAAGATTTCCGCATATTTGAAAGATCAATCTCAAGAAAAAAGTATTTTGGTATGGAGAAAGTATGAAATTAATAATTATCATATTGCTTTTGATTAATTTTTTTATTATTTTTATTTACTTAGTATAATTTATATATTATTATATTTTATATTCATGTTTATTATTGTATATTAGAGTTAAAGTATGTTAATATTTGATTGTATTATGTTTGGGTAGCTTTATTTAGATTTGGGATGTTATGTGCTTATCCCTGTATTCAATTCTGGGAGGTCCGGGAGGGGGAGGGGGGAAGGGGATGAAGGGGGTAGAGTTATATAAAATTTGGTGTATTACTATGTTAATACACCAACAAGCGGGCCTGGCCTAGGGAGGATTTTTAAACTGGGTTTTTTAGAAATTTTAACTATCACAACACAAAAATTTTGGTTTTAATTTGGTTTTATTCGGTGGGGTGTGTGGGTCTTTCTTTGTTTTAATAATGTTGTGAGCCGCCCTGAGTCCTTCGGGAGAAGGGCGGGATATAAATTGAAATAATAAATAAAAAAATAATAAATAAATAATGTAATTTTTTTTTTGTGAAGAGAAGGTGGTCGGCTGGTACCCCCAAACTGCATCCGAAGGTTGAGGAAAAGAAGGAGGAGGGATGTGTAGGGTAATTGGAAGAGAAAGAGGAGAGAGGTGTGGGTAGGAGGGGAGGAAAGGAAGAGGGAAGTAGGTAGGAAGGGTGAAAGAGAGGGTGGATGCGGGGGGGGGGAACTGCCGATCACCTCCGAAAATATGATGTTTAATAGGGTTTTGTTTTTTTATGTGCACCATATTTGTATTAAGAACTTGTTTATTTGAAAATTAATAAAATTTGTAAAACCGAAAAGATCAAATCCTGATTGATAAAATGGTTTAAGAATTGCAAAGTTAATAA